GTGTCGCTAGACCACAGAAGGTGGCCAAAGGAAAATTGCCTGATGTCGGACACACTTGGTTTACAACTACGAAGAGTGCTATATGGTTAGTTGAGATGTACAATTAATTTTCGTCGGAGTCGACGTTTTCTAAACCCACACCCTTCCCTCCTGAGCGGAAACGCAACACAGCTGGTTTGCTGGTTATTCTGAAGGAAACGCCTTGCTGATGCTGCACAAACAATACAACGGCCGTCAGACACCCGCACCGCCACCCCTAACCCACCAACACAATGTGAGCACTCCAAACTCTAACGGTTATTGCTCCTAGTCACACCTGTTTCTAAAACACCTTTCTAGCTTGGCAGAACCTGTTTTTTTCTTAACGTTCCCCCGTGGTACATAAGGCTTCAAGCTAGTGGCTTGAAGTTTTGCCGTTATGTCCGTGAGTGGTTTGGCGTTCAATTCCCTCCCGGCTGACGCACTGCTAAATCTCGGTTAACCGGTAGTAAGACAGGTAAAGAGGGAAGGTTAAGAGTGACACTACATTGCGCTGATTAAGCCACTCTACTCGTACTCATGCAGCCAGGTGAGGGCTTACGGTGAGTTGTCATCTGAAGTGGTGACGACTAGTAGCGTCCGTCAAGGATGCCCATTATCCTGGCCATTGAGAGCAGAAGACATGAAAAGATTAGCTGTGTTCGATCATAGGTTTCTGCGTTCTATCTCCCGTGTGTGTTAAGTGGTATGATAAGGTGAGCAATATTGAGGTTAGGCGTCGAGTGCTAGGTAAGGCGGGGAAATCAGTCGACGAAACTGTGAAATTACATCGACTGAGATGGTTAGGACATGTGTTACGCATACCCGCCTAGTCATCGCCTTCCTCGACTGATGGGCAATATTAGCTGAAATAGGGTCAGGCTGGAAAACAGCTAGCGGCGGTCAAACTAAAACACGGCACCAGTCAGTGAAATCCGCAACAGTTCGTCTAAGCCACGTAGGAAGGTGTAGACTTCTTAACCAGTTGGGGTCCTCGGGACGGTAAAAACCAATGGTTGGAAACAATTAGTGTCATGGCTCAAAATCGTTCTCAATAGCTGGCGCCGATGCATCCACTCCTTGTGACTCATGATTTCCAATGAAACTGTTTTGTTCTTCGTTATTACTATTCCTTTATCTCACACCTCTGTTTACTGTCTGTATTGTGCAGTTCTTCTACTTTCTTCTCTTGCTTTGTGTGCTACATGGAGGGAGTGTGGCGACTTGAACTGCCGCACATATGTGCAAAGTTCTATGTCGAAAACCGACAGACCGATCGACCGAACAACCCCACCCAGTAAAACCCACACATACCACTGCTACTGAAACTCTAAAGTTCAAGCTTGAGACCGTATGTTCCACTCGAAACGCAAGCAAATAAAATGGTAATTTTTTTCCTTCACGTTCCACAGTGGAACATAGGGATTCAAGCTAGTGGCTTGAAGTTTCTGTAACAGTGTTTATTTTACAGGATGGGGTTGCTAGCCTCATGCCCAACCTTTCCTCTTCACCAGCATTACTTCTGGCTTAATGAGGTAAAGGAGTGCGTCGGCCGGGGATCGAACCCCGGACCATGTGCATGGTCGGCGAGCGTCCTAACCGCTATGCCACCGACGCATTGGTAGAACCTGTAGGAAAATTAATTCCACCCAGTGTAACTGGTTGGGTCATTACAATATATATATACAATTCGGACCACCACATTATCAAGGTAGCAAGCCACTAATGATCAAGAGGTTTATGATTGTCGGCAAAGTCAAGACACAGCTACATTCTACATACCACATTATAAGTTGTATTTTCTGTTGACCTGTGAAATATTTTATATGCCCAATCAAAATAGCTTCATCAAAATCCAGAATCAAATTGACTTTTGGTATTTATTTATATTGCTGTCTGGATCAATCAACCATTGACTTTATGGATAAATGGTGTTATGGGGATATTTTTTTTATCAATTCTCATCTGTCTACAATAGAACAGTTGCACACGCACACACACACACACACTATAGTTGTCACATCACATTCAGTGAAATGAAAGGTATCTGTTGTCATGTATATAACAATAAGTATTCTAATCACATTGGTAAACATGATTAGATTGTAGTTTATTTATTTCATTTATTATAAATACTTTAAATACCAACGAAATATTTAACTGACACCAATTGTATTAGATGGTTGGAGGCAGTCGACCACAGGAAGCCTTCGACACCACCTAGGTTTCGTGCTAGTTGGTACTCACCAGTCAGTCAGCAAGGCAGACGTATCTGCAACCTTTGAAAGAACTCATGTCTCTTCTGAGATTCGAACCCACGTCACCTAGTGCTGCAAATCTGACTGATAGAATTCAGTCTGCACCAAACAAAGGACTAGACACATCACACTAGTTAGTTACTAGTGTCCAATCAAAGTATCGAATAGTCAGTTCTAAAGGAGGTCAGTCGCGAGTCCAAATAGCTCAGCGGTAACGTCTCTGACTGCAGTACTCACTGGGTGATGCGGGTTCGAATCTCAGAAGAGACATGAGTTCCTTCAAAGGTTGCAGATACGTCTGCCTTGTTGACTGACTGGTGAGTGCCAACTAGCACGAAACCTGGGTCAGGCAAGGCTTCCTGCGGTCGATTGCCTCCAACCATCTAATGTCATCAAATCAATGTGCACCGTGATGGCGAACTACCTGGAATGATGGTCACATTGCAAACCTGACTGATAGGATTCAGTCTGCACCAAACAAAGGAATAGACACATCACACTAGTTAGTTACTAGTGTTCAATCAAATGACATCAATTGGGTTTATTACTAAAGTCAACGAAATCATTCGTTTCAATGTGGATTTCATCAGAAAACTGAAATCGACTAGAGAACCATTGTAAAACCATCAGGGAACACTGCTACTGAACAGCTGCTTTGTCCTAGCTTTGGGATGCTTCAGATCAAAATAGTAAAGGAATCAAATCCCTGAAAACCACCAAGATTTATCGACAAAAACATGAAAGAAGAAAGGCCTCCGTCATCAAAAAAATCACAACTACCATCGAGTTGATGGACTTATAACCGCTAAGATCAACCAAAGTGAAGCTATTGAGAGAAGGTGAATATTACGAGATACTGAGCTCTATCTGACATACTAGATAGAGCTGCTAGCTTTACGTCAAACGTTTCTTCGTTCATGTTTGACTACAGATTGATGTCAGTTAGAGAACCAGCCGGAAGTATTGAACGGCTTTTTCGTCTCTCTAGTTTAAGACTCATTGGTAGGATGCACCCATATCTGAGGGTTTGAACCCAGGACCTTCAGGTTACAAGGGAAGCTCGTAGACCAACCATTCAACCAATGGGACCTGACTCAGTGAATCATGAATTCTAACTTCTACCAATTCGTGATTTCATCATGACTGGCACCAGCCAATGCCATCGCTGGTGAATATTTGTCCTTACTCCCGACTGAGTAGACCCCACTGGTCACTACTTTCACTAGAACTCCAGTCAACTTTGTCATGTGTAGCCAGTCACTAGCGAGCATCAGATTAATTTTCAAGGGTTAATTTGTAGGGATTTGATTTGTTTGACCATGGACTGATCGATTGATTGAGCACTGGACAGCTGTTTCCGGTTTTCCCTTTACACGTCAGGCTCATACACTATTTAACCACTTTTCCGAGCTTACTATCGACTAACAAACTTGGTAAGATTCACAAGTACGCCAGAAGGGGATCGAACCCTCAACTCCTACCTGGCTACCGAGCATCTCTACGATTAAACTACGGATGCATAAACTCACTTCAAAACATCAGTGCATTTGTTGAGTGGTTAAAAAGGTTAAAGAGTTGTTTACACAAGAAAAGTCTGTGTCACAAAGATTCATGTGATCAAGGCGATATTTCTTTGCAACTGACTTCTATCGTAATAATACCCAGCAACAAAACATTTATGAGTATACTATACAAAAGGGAAGACGACCACGCAAACTAAGCTATTTAACAAGCATTACTTAAGAAATACAACATATAATGAGGTATCAATGTCAAACACGTCAACAAAACGAGATGTTGCAGAACTGTTACGTAAATCAAACACCTGAGTGACCAATTCCTAATCAGTCAAACTGGCTACCTATTAAAATTCCTCGTCTTCGATCCTATTTGATCACTATTATATGGGGTGGTCCACATCCATTCCACCTGCTGTCGCAGATTCCTAGCACTTCCATGTATTTTCTCATTTCTTTGGCTACCTATCTGGGCAGCCTTCCCAGCCTCGTACATTGTACGAACATTCCACGTCCCCATTCTTATTTTTGCTTTCATCGACAGAAGACACATCGGATTGCTGACTGGCTTCCCGAGGGCTTTCACCAACCTGCGTCATTTCGCCTCTCTCTGATTCCAGAGGCATTGAAGTTTCCGTAGCAGTTTGATTAATTTTTCGGCGTAGCCCCACACCCAATTCTCCCTCTTTCCTCGTGCTTGGGACAGGCTACAAAACTAGACAAGTTTGAAGATCAAATGGTCAGAAAGAATTAACGACAAGAAACTTTGAGAATATACCAACCCAAAAACTTATCGCTCTACAAATAATGTAGAAGAAAATGGAAATGGATCGGGCACAGCTTGAGGATACCACATAGAATGACATCGCACGCTAGGCCATCTCACTCGAATTGAACCCGAATGGGAAACAGCGAGTGGGATGTCACTCCGAGGGTGATATAGAAGAGGTATTGCGACGACGAGATCAGAGACTAAGGGTAATCGTGGGATCAGCTAAAGAGGACAACAAAGGATGGGACAGGGTGGAGACGTGCTCTTGAAGCCCAATGTTCCATTCAGAACAATTATACAATAGCAATACATGGGAGTGGTGTGGGATGAGTGATAAATCGAGACATATCCTAGAAATAATAACACTAAGTAAGCCAAAATTCAAAAAACAAAACACCGAGATATGACTAATAAAAAAGGAGAAAGATGACATACCGGCGAAATATGGACCTTTAATTGCATCGTTTAGCTTACTGCATGCTTCCCAATAATGTGCGACATCATCGTCAGATATTTTCGGACTACTCAACAGCATATAGGTTGGTCCAGTAATCTATAAATAATTAACAAAAATAAAAACCTATTGACAATAATCATTATAAAAAATTTTTTTGTATTTCCCAATGAATGAAAAACAAAACACGTACGTACACCACTCTTTGATAATGTATGGGAAGGAAAAGGAACAAGAAATATCAAATTTTACGAAAATTCTTAACGAAAATAACTACCACTCAAATATCTTCATTACCAAAATCCCGACCGATAGCTGCTACCCCTTGACGTGATGGTCGAGCTTGCACATCGCGATGACCCAACAAGCTACACTGGTTGGAACCAATGTTCCTGCAGGTCCTACCATGCCAGGAAGGTTGTTAGGATAGCTGTTAGACTAAAAGCAGTTACCGGCATTGTGTAAGAATTTTTCTTGACACTATGCTGGGGGTCTAAGGGTGAAGTCGTACTGCTGGAGAACAGGGATGTAACAGCAGATGACAAGCATGCCAGCTAGCTATGTTGTCTCTCCACTCTAAAGAGAGGGGGTTAGAAAAGGTCGACCCCAAAAATTGTACATCCCGACTTACCCTACCTACGGTGGTCCGTAACCGGAGGTAAGTTTACTAATACGGAACCAAACCAAGAAACCACTTCATACAGGCCGTGTGTGACGAGCTGGCCTCAAGCAGTCGTCCCCTGGGCTCTGCGGTCACGCAACACTAACCCTCTCTCTGTTTCAGGTACTCGAAGAATCAATTAACTTCCACGGTGTGGACAGTCGGGAAGTAACAACCGCGCACACAATTCCAAAAGCACACGAAGCCTTCCTGAGCATCATTCTCATCTACCCACATCACCTTCATCATCTTTATTCCCCTACTACAGTTGGTACTATTCTTGAAGTTAGTGAGGCACCTTCCCTTCACTCTATGACCACCACAAATAACGATGAGAACCATAGAAACACCCCAGATAGTCTTTTAAAGCCACATCGCCAACTTCATACAGGAGCATTTAACGTCAGGACCCTCTGCCAAATCGGACACTTCCAACAGCACATTTACCAAAATGAACACCGTGACATTAAATATGTTCGAAAAGGTATTCCGAACGGATAACACCTCAATAGTTGTCATTCGATATATATCAAAAACGTTAGATGACATCAGAAGAGTACTCAATAAACACACAACATCAAAGCTGTCTTCAAAATATCAGACAAACACACGTACACTACAAAGCAACCTTATCCATGTAAAAGACCCAGTCTCTAAGAATTCTCTATCCAATTGTGACTATGAATTGAAATACTTGGAATGTGTGATGCGATAATATACATCACACAAACCTCACAAAAAATCAAGTTCAGAAGAAATGAACACCATAGAACCGACGCATATTCAACCACCGAGAAATCCAGTTAGTGAACTAGAAAAGATTAAAAAATCATCAGTCACTGTAAAATCAGGTCACAAAATTGACTTTGAAAATATTGATATCATCTAGGAAAATTTCAGAAATCACAAAGAACGTCTAGTAACAGCAGCACTTTATATCAAGTGGAATCCAAATTGTCTGAACATGAATGATGGACATAGAGGTAGGCGAAAACCAACAAACTGGTTGAAGAGGCTGGCAGCGAAGATAGGACTCTAGGTGAACATAGGGAAGACGGAGGTGATAAAGACAACCAACCAACAGCAACCACAATAAATAGCACCAATCACAATCTACGGGAGAGATTTAACATAGATTACTTCCTTCATTTATCTAGGAAATATCGTTTCAACCACAGGAGACGGCACGAATGAAGATGTCAAAGTCAGAATCGGAGGGGGGGGGGCAAGATACGCCTTCAACAACCTGAAACTAGCTGGCAAATCTCCCGCCCTCAGCATAAGGAACAAGATTTGCATTTTCAACACCAATATGAAGTCGGTTGGTCCTTCTATACGGGTCAGAAACATGGCCAGCGTTTCACGAAAAGGATTTCCAATAGCTTGTTGCAGACTGTCATCAACAGCTGCCTCCCCATCTGGCTAGCCGGCCAGAAAGAATAAACAACAAAAAACTATGGGAACAAATCATCAGGCGAAAGCCGATCGCTCAACAAATATGTAGGAGAAAGTGGAGATGCATGAATCGGGCATACATTGAGGAGACCACCGAATGACATCGCACTCAATTCAGGCCATCACTCGAGTGGAATCCAAATGGGAAGCTACGAGTGGGTCCTCAGTGCGAGGGTGACATGGAGGAGATCGTATGAGATGAAAGAGTTTGGTCAATCGTAGACGACCCAGATGAAGAGGACGGCGGAAAACACAACAAAGTGTAGATGTGTTGTTGAAGCGAGCCCTATGTTCCACTCGGAACGCGAAGGAATAATAATATAATATACAATAACAAAGGTCAGAGAATAGAACTATCGCAAGGTAATTGTCTGACATTTAGAGGGACTTAACATAAAACTACTTAGCTTAGACGACTGGTCGATGTTCAACAAAAAGCTATTGAGTTTGGAACAGTCAGACAGGGGCGTAACCGGCAGTGAGACAGTCAGATTACCAGTGTATTTAACGAAGTTGGTTTCATCTGAAAGAGACAAGTTATCTAAGAAGAAAGAAGAAAGGGGAGAGGAAAACACCTTGAGGGACTCCAGATTCAGTAAGTAAGGTGGACGAAGATTTGCCTTTATATACAGTATATTCCAATCTCCTAGAGAAATAAGAATCCAACCAGTTGACAGTCCAGGACTCGGTTTGTGTCACGGAAAGCTCATTCAACAAAAGGCATCTGGGTACAGAGTCAAAAGCAGATGTGTAGTTTCGGAAGGTACATCGGACATATTTGACTCCTTTGTCTACGGAGAAAACAATGTTATGGTGTAAGACAGAAGCAGCATTAAAAGTACATCTACCCTCTTTATAAGGTCGGTCGGTCGGTTTTCGACATAGAACTTTGCACATATGTGCGGCAGTTCAAGTCGCCACACTCCATGTAGCACACATAGCAAGAGAAGAAAGTAGAAGAAATGCATAATATAGTCAGTAAACAGAGGTGTGAGACAAAGGAATAGTAATAACGGAGAACAAAACAGTTTAATTGGAAATCATAAGTCACAAGGAGTGGATGCATCTGCGCCACTGAGAACGATTTTGAGCCATGTCGCCAATCGTTTCCAACCATTGGTTTTTACCATCCCGAGGGCCCCAACCAGGAAGTCTACATCTTCCTACGTGGCTTAGACTAACTGTTGTGGATTTCATTGACTGGTGCCATGTTTTCGTTTGACCGCCACGTGCTAGCTCCTTTCCAGCCTGACTCTATGTCAGCTAACATCGCCCATCAGTCGAGGAAGGCGATGACTAGGCATACGTAGCACATGTCCTAACAATCTCAGTCGAAGTAATTTCACAGTTTCGTCGATTGATCTCCCCGCCTTACCTAGCACTCGACGCCTAACCTCAATATTGCTCACCTTACTATACCACTTCACGCGGGAGATGGAACGCAGACACCTATGATCGAAGACAGCTAATCTTTTCATTTCTTCCACTCTCAATGGCCAGGTCTCACAGCTGGCCATAAAGAAGGACGGAGCAAACTGTTGAGCAGTACACACGCCCTTTGGTCGATAGTCGGATATCACGTCTACTAAGCTGGAGACGGCGTAAACTGGCGTATGCGAAACTAGCCCTCTGTATTCGTGCTGATATTTCGTCTGAGATCAACTCGTTGGGGCTGATGGGATTTCCCAAGTAATTGAAGCGGTCAACGTGCTCTACCACTTCACTTCCTATTTCTAATCTAGGGGTCGGTGAAGTCCAATCCTGTAGCATCATCTTACATTTCACAGGGGCGAATCGCATGCCAAACATACGGAGATTGTTGCTCAGGGTGTTCAGTAGACTCTGCATTTTGTCAGAGTCCTCGCCTAGAAGGACTATATCGTCCGCATATTCTAAGTCAACGAGATTATTCCCTGGTAGCAAGTCAATCCCTGAGTCGCTGAAGTGTTAAGTCCATTAGTACGTCTATGATGAAGTTGAATGGGAATGGGGATAATGGGCATCCTTGACGGACGCCACTAGTCGTCACCACTTCAGATGAAAACTCGCCATAAGCCCTCACCTGGCTGCATGAGTACGAGTAGAGTGCCTTAATCAGTGCAATGTATTTTCTCGGCGTTCCCTTTACAGCAAAGCATCGCCAGAGAACCTCTCGGTCGACAGAATCGAATGCCGCCTTTAGGTCAAGAAATATAATGATTGTCGGACGCCGGTAGGAATGCCTATGTTCTAGAATCTGTCGAAGGGTGAAGATGTGATCAATACACCCTCTACCTGGCCTAAAACCTGCCTGGTTTTCTCGTGTTTGTGTCTCCCGAGCAAACTGTTTGAGATCATTTATGTGTACATATAATAGTCGGATGATGAATGGGCGTCTGATAAACATCGCAGATGTAGTGTGTGTGTGTGCATGGGTGAAACACAAAACCATGAACGCTTAACGGCTTCATTGAAAGACACTATACATAAATAATATAATTTTTTTATCAAAACATCAAGGCATCGTTATACTATACTTACTGTCTGCATAATTTCTTTAGCTTTTTCAAATAATTCTTCACCACAATGAGATAAGAGAACACCTGAACCATACACACTGTCGATATGACGCATTAATACATCCGATTCAGAGAGTTGTTTCCCATTCTCCAATAATAATGGAACTTTACCAGTTGGATATAATTCCAAAAACCAATCAGGTTTCGAGGTTAACGAAATATTCACTAAATCATAACTGATTGATGAAATTTTTAAAAAATGATAAATATTAGAATTTTTTAAAGAATTCAAATAGTACACATAAAGAGAGATATTATGGAGTACAAATTGTAAATAATAGTAATATATATATATATATAGAGAGAGAGAGAGAGAGTTGAATTGAATTTTGTCTATTTAAGAATTACAGTCATGAGGTGGACACCATGCGTCATTCCTTAAAGTTATTCAAAGACCATAATAGTTGAATTCTTCTCAGATTTGTCAAAGCAACACACTGCTATCAAACGCCTGAAACGTAATTTAGGTGTTCAGGAAGAAGCAACAGTCTTTCCTTAACCCTGGTGACTGGATATCTTTACTCTCTCTCTCTCACTTGATTACATAATCTTTGGCTTTATTTGACCTCTCCCCATCTTCGCTATAATATAATTCTAATTGTCTTCTGTTCCTATGATTTGAGTTGAACCCAACACATTACCTTACTCAACAATATCGAGTTGTTAAAATTAAAAGAGAATTACATTTAGATTTTCCCCTCGACTGATTGGACAGAAGTGCTCGGTTTCAGGTTGACATATCGGCTTCTGGTGCAGGTGTGTTTAGACGATGTCTGGGCATTTCACTAGAAGTTAATTTTTTTTTATTTACAGCTTGATTCCACACCGTATTTTCAGTACAAGTGTGGAATTTTCAGCGTGGATATCGGTTGCCCAAATTCAGGCATACCATAGATATCGGGTGTGCGCCGGCAGAGGATCGAACCCCGGACCATGTGCATGGTCGGCGAGAGTCCTAACCACTGTGCCATCGACGCACATGGTGACTAGCAGGATGTGCATTTCGTCCTACTTGAAACTCGTCAGCTGGGCTCGAGCATCAGTGGGAAAATCATCACTCACTGCAGAACGCAGGTACATCCAGCCACCAACGAGTCACAAATAGGAGTGGTTTGGCGCGTGTTTCACCACAAAATCACAGACGCTTGTATACTGTTATAGAGTTATCACCACAATAACAAATGAGTATATACATTTACGGAAAGATTCAGTACTTACTCGATTTTGTGATAGCCCAATACCAGTTTAACTCGATCAACATAAGGGCAAAACTTATATCCAATGAGAGTTAAACGATCAGAGCGAAATTCTGGCTTTGGATCTCCTGTTGAAAAAGGGATAAATGTACCTGATATGAAATCATGTTTTATACAACAAACAACAAAGTAATCTTACAAGAACTAGTGGTAGTCAAACGGAAACGTGGCTTCATCTGCCAGCCTGCCAGCCACGTAGGGAGGTGTAAACTTCCTGACTGACTGGTTGGGGTCCTCGGAATCGTAAGAACTAATGAAGGCTGGAGAAAATTGGTGATACGGGTCAACATCGTTGTCAATGGCTAGCGCACATACATTCACTCTTTGTGATTTACCACAATGAATAAACCTCTGTTGTATTTCCATATTACTGTTTTTGCTTCACACGTGTTTATATTATTTCGAATGAATGAAGTTCAGAATAGTATATCACTTACGTCTGTAGAAGAGGAAGATGATTGTTTATCTTCCCTAGACATATTGCTTAGTCTCATCGATTTTTGCAAGTAAGGGCTGGCTTCAGAGCATATTCCTGAGTGGCTCCAGAAGCAAACAGAACCCTCAGAACCCATTAAGGGTAAGAACAGGAGACCTAGCTCCTCTATTGCCAAACATATTATAGAGACAGGACATAAAGTGGATGTTCTCCATACGTCTTTTAAATCTATCTACAAAACATGTTTGGAGGGCATTCTAAAGTTTTTGGAAGCCCTAGCTGGTAATTAGAAAGTTAAAACCACTTTTATGCGTTCAAAGCAATAGGTAGAGCACTTCCTAGAATCACCAGAGATGTTTCCGACTCTTCATATATATATATATATATATATATATATATATATATATGGTGAGATCAAAACCAGAAAAATGAATCCAGGCAGCCACCCGTCGACTTAAGAAGGGCTTCATAAATCCTAACTTTCAAAGGAAGACAACACGTATGATTCTTGGTATGACCAATTTATTATATGATGAATGACCAAACACTGTGAATCTCTTCCCCTTGTCATACCGCAGACGGAGAGATCTCAGTACAATACTTAAAACTTTTGAAAATGACTATGGACCTGATCTATATTATTTTTTCCTTTCCACTAGATAAGAACATCTCAGGAGACATAACAGGAAAGTTCAAGAAAACTATATCACTGTGGAGTATTGGTTCTTCCACTGGGCTATATACTCTTAAAAAGCACTCCCAGAAGTGGTGTCAACACCCTGAATTTACCCGTTCAAGAGGGATTTGGATAAGCACAGAAACTTATTGGAAGAGGATTAACACTCCAAGCTTACAATAATGCTGAATTAAATCTTGCAAACTCTGAACTAAATCTGACTATCTATAATGAGTAAATTCTGAAATTGTTCTAAAATGACTTGATTATGCGCACAAACTAGAACTCTGCTGATTTTCAGCATGACTCGCACCAATTCAGCAGCATGTGCTTATTCTAGGCATTTTCAGAATTACCGCAGTACCTACTGGGTTTGCTTATCAGCGTTGTTTCAACCCTCTCAGCCCAGATTCAGCACTGACTGGCATTACTACAGAACAAAAAGAGTTAATTCAGAGCAGACTGGCAACTTTAGGTAGATAAAATATTCACTTACCATAAAAATGCATTATCGACGCATAGGTTAGAATCACTTAAGAATTGTTGTAAGCATGGGACGGGCTCAAAGTTCTCTATCCTCAATCAATAAATCTAAAATCTGAAACTTGCTTAGTTCTAATGTAAGCTTGACATCAGAATTAGGTGAATTTCGATACTTACAATAGTGCTCGTAAATTCCCAATCGGACAAAAAAAAGGGAAGTGTAAAAAATGGCGACAAAAGTAGGAAACTCAGTGGATAAAAACGGGGAAATAAAGGAGACGGTTGCTAATCTTTCTTTTTCCAAGGTGTTATGCATTGTATCCCCTTCGTCTCTTTATTTCCCCCCTTTATTTTGCCACTATTGTCGATTAGTTTTCCCTTTCTCCGCTTATTTTCCAATAATCTGTCAGTTCTTCGCTTTACTTAACCCAACTATCACCCGTCTTTCCCATCGAATTAGCTTGTTGATTGCTGCTACCTAACTGTCGTGCATATTATTGTGAACAGAAACATGGTTACTGAGAATAGAACCATTGCCATCAAAATAAGGATTCGTAATATCAAAGTTACATTTAAGTTGTTTTATTTAAATAGGAAAAACATTTAAAAAACCCTAACGAAATGAATAGGAATTCCTATGGTGGGAGAATTCTGAAATTATTCTGAATTATTATAAAGTCCCCGTAAGACCGAACATTTCCAGAATTCCAGCACTACCGCAGTGTGCTTTTCTGCATATTACCCGCATTAATTCAGCGCTGGCTGGCACGTGCCTTTCTCGGCATCATTTCAGCTAGCTCTCTCTCAATCTTAATTCAGCACTCACTATATTTTGTTTGCTTGAGATAAAAATGTAATGCATAAATGAAACGGTATGTACGTGTGGATTTTTAATTATTGGAAACGTGAGTATAGTGTGCACTACAAACACTTTGGGCGCACTTAGAGCCCTCTGAATGCTTTATCAAGAGAAACAATGTTCTCGACAATTCATATAAGATGTATAATACTAGAGTTACGAACACCTACCTTGCTTTAAGTGCATCTTTGCCAGTAGTTTTCAGTTTCTGATCCCAGCTGTAATATAACAACACAGACAATAATAAATATATCAAGCACGCTGGACAGGACGTGGAAAGAACACAGACTTCGGTCAAAACACTATATAATTACCAATAGAATCAACAGCAGAAGTCAAAGATATACATATATATATATATATAAGAGCTAGGCTATAACTGTTGAGCGACCACCGGGTTTTGAACTGACGCCTTACTTTCAATTTGAAACACTACACCAGCTTTCGTAATTAAGCGACCGCGAAAACTGTTAATGTTCAGTTAGGTTGCAAATCTGCGGCCGATGTCTAGGTCATTTTAGCCTAAGTTTGCATGTCATATTGGATTAAATTTTGGATGATTATTACTTATTATTTTTATGTTAAGTTTCATTTTAAATTACTGATATATGTTCTACCTGCCACCACTCTTGTTTACGTTTTTGTTTAAGTAAACTATTTCGTTATTTTGTAATGTTCTGTAGGCCTGTCGATACAACCATATCAGCCTTATTATTCCAAACTTTTTCTTCATCACTATGTAATGTTTCTGTTATTTTAGAACTTTTCATGAAATAATGTGAAACAAAACATTAAGTAATTATGCATATGAAACTGTTTTGGAAACAGGTTTTTTTTGCTTGCACTTATTTTGTTGGTCGTCCCTATTGTTTCAGGTTCAAGCGGCTGCTTGATCGTCTTCCTTGATGTATCCGTGGGAAAGTGTCTTCCTAAGTGAGGTTACAAAACTGTGCTTAGCATATAACCCTCTACAACCTATTGTAGGAAAAGAAATGTAAGTCAGTATTTTATAGAGCGCAAGTAGAATTAAGTACTAGGCGGAATCTTCAGTACTTAGTATGAGAAGTAATACACTAAGGTAAACTTTTTTTCTTATAAGTACGCAGTGAAAAGATAATGACGAGTTTTTGTAATTAGCATTGTATTTACTATGTAGGTAATGTTATTACAAGCGCGCGTCGCTGTAACGTGTCAAGTCTTGTGTATCTCTGCATCAGTAACATAAACACCAGTTGTAGCGTTATCCAGTCAGTAAAACTTCGACTTTTCGTACGTCAAACTCTGTGGATGGTAGATGAAATTATAGGCTGCTTCCACACAATGCGTACAACAGCATCTTTGGCAATGTCTGCGAAGACAAAAATAAGATAATTAGAAGACACGCGAAAATGCATGGGTAAATAAGTCAAGTACTGTTTTGGAATAAGGGAGATTTCTAGTATTATTACAAAGTCTTCCACAAATTTCATTTCTTTCGATTCCTACCATTTCTTGCGTCAGCATTACTTACTTATAGTTCACTGTTACTTTTTCGTCGCACCCTATTGACACAGTGCAAGGAAATGAGAAAATGAGTGCAATACTTAGGATCCAGCAACAATAAGGGTATGACTTATTTTTTTTAATTTTTTTATTTTGATTACAGCTTGATGCCACACCATATTTTCAGTACAAGTATGGCATTTTCAGCATGGATATCGGTAGCCCAAATTTCACAGGCCGACCATAGATATCGGGTGTGCGTCGGTAGGGGTTCGAACCCCGGACCATGTGCATGGTCGGCGAGAGTCCTAACCACTGTGCCACCGACGCACAGATTAACAGATTAACACTGCGGCGAGGTGCAACAGTAATAATAATTTGCTTTGTTCCAAAACAGTATTAATGGTACAGTGTTGAATTTGCAGCATCTCGTATATTATTGCATCTAATTTTATGAAGTAATATTTGAAGGAGTTGTAAAGATTACATTACAGGATTGTTAAGGACACTTCATATTTGGTATTAGTAGTGACAGTGAAATCACATATGTTTATTTGTATATATTTATTTACCAGAAAAAATTGTAAATAATAGGGTTGGTAACTAAAATTGTCAGTTAGTTGATGTTGTGTGACCTTAGATTAAAAGTAGGTAACAAAAGGGCCACTTATTTACCTAACTACACGGTAATTCATAAGTCTTACGCTTTACGTTGCCTCTGCCACATAGAAAACTGACTGTCTATATGTGGTATCGCCGAGTTCCTACGCTTGGTTGAACTATCACATAATCCTGGGTGGAAGCAGAGATTACTGAAAGGCATCTATTTACCATTTAGCGAAGAACAAGATTAAGAACTGCACTTATCACTTGTTGACATTCTGGAGATCATTATTCAGTGTTTCGCATTTAGTTATGCCTAGCCTGTGTCGTTCTGCCTGGTTTTCAGTATGGCTTCGCAAAGAAGTACAACTGTTTAGTTTACCATATTTCATGCACCACACAAAGGTAGAGACACAAAACTAAATGGAAGTTTAACGAGTGAAAATTTAGGGGAGAATGAATAGTAAATCAAAACAAATGATTATTTGTACTATTAGAGTAGCACAAGACAAATTTTGGGTCATTCCAATATGTGACTTCAAAAAAAACTAATGTCTATTTCTGTGGGAAGCAAAAAGCCCATGCAGACCGTAAAGACAGCAGTATTTAGTTCAAGCCGTCGTACTCTTTGAAGTTTAAGAGGTGTTACCCTAGCTTTCGCCATAACAGGGCTACGGCCGGAATTTCTTCGTTCTTCAGAATTTCTAATATAAGAAACTGCTCCACGGCCACATTCGGCGGCATCGCAAACGATATGTGATTCTTGAGTTGTTTGATTCATGTGCTAAGGTCGCTGCTTCTGCGGAAATGATACGTTCGCATCCTTTTCCAGACTGTGCATAAATTTCATCCAGACGTCGCTTCTTAGGTATTTCGTCATCCTAATCCAATCCCAATATCCATATTCTTTGTGGTGGTTCTTTAGCGGGCGAGACTATAGGTACTAAGAGACCTAAAGGGTCATACAATGAGGTTGCCACTGACGAAATACCTCACTTGGTTGTGAGCTTAACAGGTATATGGACTTAACATCAACAAAATCTTCCTTTATGTGCCACGATGTACCTAAAGTGCGTTCGATAGGGTGTTTTTTAATATCTGTCCCTGTAATGACTGATCATTCAAAGATGTATCAATATGTCTAACCGCACGGTCATACACTAGTGGAATCTTTTTGGGCCTTTTCGGATTCTTAACTGGATGATGACGCATATACCACTTTACACTTTCCGGATGAGCAAGTATCCCCGCCAGTTCCACAACGTGTCCTTCTATTAAATGTCTCGCCATGACTTCTTTGTATCTATTCAGCAGACTACAGTCTCGCGAGGAGTCTTCTGCGACATCCAAGTCTATGACTCCCCTTTCCGTAATCGTCCAGTAGATCAGCACGGTCACACTTCCACAGTAATCCTACCTCAAATTGACTGTTGACAAGTCTGAAGGACCTAACATCTACTTGAAGCGATCCCCTATTCTCTTCAGGATGCTCCCCACATAGACCGCCCATGTCTTTAAATTCATGGTCAGATAACCCTTCAAGATTTCAAACCGAGAGATATCAACATAAGGTTTCAGGCGCCGACTCACTATGCTGTTCCGGCCCTGTCTGTAAAGTGTTGATCCAGAACCTAGTGTGTGTCTGGAAGATCACAGCCAACCAGAAGGCCCACTGTGCCATCCTAAATACTTGGCAACCTAACGTCTTTCAGATCTTCGAAGGCCTTTAGCTGTTCCTCGGTTGGGTGTTGTCTGGCAGGTAATGGTCGGTGGGTTATCATGTACGCCTAGTAATACCTATTCGAAACCAGCTTGGAACGAGTTCAAATTCATTCAAGCAGCCTGACTTCTTTCCCAGACACTGTGGCTGGCGTGTATTATGGCGTTGAACTACATTACAATGAGATAGAGGATATTATCTCCGCGCAGCTCTGTTTTCTCTGGCGTCTGCGTTACGCCTAATCAGGATTCCATAACGTGTTAGTGGCCGTTGTGCTGCTTTTTCTACAAACTTAACCAGATAATCAAACTCCACGTTACTGGTCGAGAATTCTGTATAAGTTCACTGACAGGCTTGCGAGCGATCGTATGTTCTTGTCCAGGTAAATGGCACAGTATTTGCGTTACCCTTTCATATACGAGGTCTGAAGGAAGTGCCGCACATGCTTCAGTAGTCTTTCTCGCCTTTTCTTGACAAAAAAGTAGAATATAGGTCAACTTATGTTCCTTGCCACTCAGTCATGTTCCTAAACTGACTAAGAAACATCTTATACCGATTAGGGTAACCATGATAGTACACAGTGTAGACTGTGGGCACACACATTTTATTAAAAATGGAGTTCAACGACTCCTTCACGTCTCATGCAAAATCGCCCCTTTTCTACCTTTTAAACTATAGTCACTCGTTTCAGACTTACTGACAAGCTCAGAATTGATGCACCTTTACTCCTGTTCTAATTCTAGCTTTCGTGCCAGTCGGTCCTCATTGAGAGTTGGATGAAAATGTCTGAAAATAATTACGGATATTAACTAAACCATACAAAAAACACTGTTATTTCCAATACGCACTTTATCAAGAACTTCATCAGCCAAACGTTCAGGTAAAACGAAATTCCATCCCAAGCGTTATTTCTTCTGTATTCTAGTTTAGAGACTGACGGTATCGAAGTTCGCGGATTGTATGGAACATACTAACGCAAGATCTAATACCAACGACTTCTATAGTATTCGTTCCGCGTAGACAAAAGGCAAAGCAAAACAACAGAGTTTGATCTTCCAAACTACCAAATATACTTCGGGACCAAATCGTGGACTGAAGTGAATGCTTAGCTGGCTAGTGATCGTGCACGAACGTGACACGACGGAGTACCAAATTGTATGGATGCATCACCGGAAGCCTTCAGCTAAACAAGTCGACTTAAACAGTGAGGGTCAGCATCCAATGTTCAGTGATGATTGCTAAAGTCAACAATTTTGGAGAATTATTTACCGCTACAGCTCACACACCCCTAGTGGCTTTGTGAGGACCCTAAGATAGAACCAGCCGGAAGTAAAAGCTCGATGATTCCCCATCGGTAAAAATCTTTTCCAAGAGGCTTGGTAGAGTGCCTGCTGGTCGTCTACCTATGCTAATAGGGTATCTGTACATCGCTTCGGTGATGTTTTTCCGTTGGATCTCGTGCTTCGTTTGCTTCTTGTTCAGTGCTCGTCGCACCTGGAAAAGAAAACAAGAATGCTAAGAACCTTGTTGAGGAAAATGTATCAAATCAACGTCTGAAAAATGATGTGCATCTACCATACAGTAAAATAATGCAAAGTCTAGAACATCGAAAAAATATATATCTAATTTTTTAATGCATTTAACATGTACGGTTATAGAAAAAATTTTTACTTGTGCTTCTTGATGCTATATGAAAGAATTGATGTGTCTGA